GTACATAGTTGTCTGTCATAGCTGCACATCCTTCTAGTTGCTGTATGTGGGACGCGGCCTCAGCATGGCTGGAGGAGTGGTGCCTCGGTGCGCACCCGGGATCCGAACCCGGGCCGCCGGCAGCAGAGCGCACGCACTTAACCACTAAGCCACGGGGCCGGCCCCTCATGACTTGTTTTATTGCAAATTTTGCTTTATTGCAGTCGTCTGGAACTGAACCCACTATATTTCCGAGGTATGCCTGTACTGCTAAGTCCCTACTGAGAATGTTAATCTTAGGAGAGGATTTACGTTTTGCTTCTGTTAGATGCCTTTGGATTAATTTTATGTTAAAATTTCACCTTGGTGTTTCTCCAACTATGAAGTAATGTAAATACACCCAACACAAGTACAGACAGGCCTAAGGTGGTGAATTCCCAGGGGAAACCTCTTCCACTCCAATAGAAGGAGGAGACCCAAAAGCTTTCTCGTTTTATCTTTGTGTTGGCAGACAGTCATCTTCTATACCACACCTTCACTAGGTTATAATGCTTTCAGGGCCTAGCTTTATGTGAGAGCTTCATTTCCAACTCTCCACTTTGCACATGCACAAAGTTTTGCCCACTGCACCTCGTGATAACTAAAACCCAGGCCCAGGGCAGGAGTGGAGCAACAGCAGCTCTTGGGTTGCTTTGGTTTTCAGTCCCCAGGAAATTGAATTCTCTTCTACTTATTTTCAGATCCCAACTCAAGTAACACTTGCTCACAGAAGCCATCCCTCACTCTTCAGTGTAGGCCAGGGACCTGCTATATATTTTCATAGCTCCCTGTATTTTTCCTCCATTGCACTTAATTATTTGTAGTCATGTTTAATAGTGCGACTGTTTAATGTTTGTCTCTCTCACTAGATTGTTCATTCCATGAGGGAAGGAATCACTTGTTTATCATAGTACCCAACCTGGCACATCACAGAAATAAAATAAATATTTGCCAAATGAAAAATATGAATGAGTGTGTGGAGGGAAGGGGGGATGATATTAATACGTATATAACTCTTCAAGGAAAGTAAAGGGCGGAAAAGAGAGAAGGGAAAAAGGGAACATTTTATTATGAATTATTTCAAAATTGCAGGAACAAATGGCAAATCCCTGGGTAGCCATTTCCCAAAACAATCAAACTCTTACATATTCACCATTCCTGGTTCCTTTTTCTTTTAATTGAGATATAATGCTCCGATCTTAAGAATGCCATTCAATCAGTTTTGACATATGCATACACTCATGTAACTCATACTTCTATTAAAATGCAGAACACTTTCATTAATCCAGAAATTTTCCTCATCTCCCTTCAACATCCTCATTCCCAGAAACAGTCCCTGATCTGATTTCCATGACCATAAATTAGTTTTGCCTATTCTAGAATTTCATATACATGGAATCAAACAGTATGCACTTTTTGTGTCTGGCTTCTTTCACTTATCATAATATTTTTGATATTCATCTACATTATTGCACGTATCAGTGTTCATTCCTTTTGGTGTTGATTAATATTCCACTGTATAAAATAGACTACATTTTATTTACCTAATCTTGTGCTGATAAAATATCTGGGATGTTTCCAGCTAATATGGTTCCAACTGCTATGAACATTCTTGTACAAAGCTTTTTGTGGATATATGTTTTCATTTCTCCTCGACAAATAGCTAGTAGAATTGCTAGGTCATAGGATGAACGTTTATCTCTTTAAGAAACTCCCAAATAGTTTTCCAAAGTAGCCGTACCATTTACATGCCCATCAGCAACGTATGAGATTTCTGATGGGTCCACATCCTCTCCAACATTGGATGTTGTCAATCTTTTTCATTTTAGCCATTCTAGTGGGTCATTACAGTTTGCATTAGCATTTTCCTGATGATTAATGCTATCATGCACTTTTTTATGTGTTTATTGGCTATTTGTATATCTTCTCTTGTGAAGTGTCTGTCCAACTCGTTTGACTATTTAAAAAATTTTTGTCTTTCTATTACTGAGGTGCAGGAATTCTTTATGTATTTTGTCTTTATCAGATATGTGTTGTAAATATTTTCTTCCAGGTTGTGGTTTGTCTATTTTTTAATATCTTTTGACGAGCAAAAGATTTTATTTTCAATAAGGTCCAATTTATCAGTTTTTTTTTTCTTTATGTTTTGTTTTTTTGTGTGTGTGAGGAAGATTAGCCCTGAGCTAACATCTGATGCCAATCCTCCCCTTTTTGCTGAGGAAGATTGGCTCTGAGCTAACATCTGTGCCCATCTTCCTCTACTTTATATGGGACGCTGCCACAACATGGCTTGACAAGCAGCATGTTGGTCCGCGCCTGGGATCTGAACCTGTGAACCCTGAACTTAACTGCTATGCCACCAGGCAGGCCCCTATCATTCTTTTTTTTTTTAACAGTTTGTGATTCTTGTAACCTCTCTAAGAATTCTTTGCCTGCCCCAATGTCATAAAGATATTTTTCTAAGCTTTCTTTTAGTAGCTTTATGGTTTTAGCTTTACGTTTAAGTTTATGATACATTTCAAATTGGTTTCTATGTATGGTGTGAGGTAGGGGTTGAGGTTCTTTTTTTTTCATATAGATATACAGTTGTTCCACCAGCATTTGTTAAAAAGATTTTCCTTTCCCAACTGAATTTCTTTTGTGCCTTGTCAAAAGTCATCTGATCTTATGCCTGTGAGTCTATTTTATGGATGATTTGTCTATCCTTTTGCCAATACCACACTCTCTTGATTACTGTGGCTTTACAGTAAGTCTTTTTTTTTTTAAATTTTTTTAAATATTTATTTATTTATTTATTTTTGCTGAGGAAGATTCGCCCTGAGCTAACATCTCCAACTTCGTTCTTTTTCAAGACTGTTTTGGTTATTCTAAGACTTTTGGTTTTCTAAATACATTTTAAAATCAGTTGGCCAATTTCTACAAAAAGTCTGTTGCGATTTTGATTGATATTGAATCTATAGATCAATTTGGGGAAATCTGCCATCTTAACAACATTGAACTTTTCAACCCATGAATATGGTATATCTCTCCTTCTATTTAGGTTTTCTTTAATTTCTCTTAGCAATATTTTATAGTTTTTAGTCTTGAACATCTTTCATTAAATTTATCCATAAGTATTTGATGTTTTTTAATGTTAGATTAAATGGTACTTTTTCTAAATTTAATTTTTTAATTGTTTACTGGTAGCAGACAGAAATACAATGTTTTTTGCATATTGACTTTGTATCTTACAACACTGCTATAAAGTCACATATCTATTCTAGTAGTGTTTTTGTAAATTCATTAGGACTTTCTATACACAATCATGTCATCTGCAAATAATGACAGCTTTACTTCTTCCTTTTCAGTATTTATGCCCTTTTCTTCTGGTTAGGTTGCATTGGCTAGGACCTCCAATATAATTTGGTGGTAAAAGTGGACATCTTTGTCTTGTTCTCAATATTAGGCAGGAAAAATATTCCAAAATTTAACCATTAAGTGTAATATTAGCTGTAGGTTTTTGTAAGTGTTCTTTATCAAGTTGAGGAAGTTTCTTCTACTCCTAGTGTATTGAAAAGTTTTATCATGAATGGGTATTGTAATCTGTCAAATGCGTTTTTCTGCATCTATTGAAATGATCTTATAATTTTCTTCTTTAAACTGCTAATATGGTGAATTACATTGGCTGATTTTTATGTATTAAATAAATTTGCATTCCTAGGATAAATCTGACTTGACCATGGAGTATTATCCTTTTTACATAATGCTGGATTCAATTTGCTAATATTTTGTTAAAGAGTTTTTCATCCATGTTCAGGAGAGAATTTGGCCATCAATTTTCTTTTCTTGTAACGGCCTTGTATTGTTTTGGCATTAGGGCTAGTGGCCTGACAAAATAACTTGGAAAGAGTTCCTTTTTCCTCTATTTTCTGAGAGTGTATGTCAGATCATTATTATTTCTTCCTTATGTATATGATAGTATTCAAACAGTTAAGCTACCTGAGCTTGAAGTTTTCTTTGTGGAAAGTTAATTACGAATTCAATTTCTTCAATAGATTTAGGACTATTTAGATTTTCTATTTATTCTTATGTCAGTTTTGTTAATTTGGGTCTTTCAAGGAATTTGTCTATTTCATCTAGGTTGTCAAATTTACTGGCAAGAAGTCGCTCAGAATATTCCCTTATCATCCTTATAATGTCTGTAGGATCTGTAGCAATGTCTCTTCTTTCATTTGTGATATTGGTAATTTGTGTTTTCTTTTTTTCCTTTTTTCCTGATCGGTATTTCTAGAGATTCAATAATTTTACTGATCCTTTTAAAGAGTCAAATTCTAGTTCTTTGATTTTCTTTTCTTGATTCTTTTTTTTTTGTGTGTGTGTGTGAGGAGGACTAGCCCTGAGCTAACATCTGATGCCAATCCTCCCCTTTTTTCTTGAGGAAGATTGGCCCTGAGCTAACATCTGTGCCCATCTTCCTCTACTTTATATGGGACGCCGCCACAGCATGGCCTGACAAGCGGTGCATCGGTGCACGCCCGGGATCCGAACCTGTGAACCCCGGGCCGCCAAAGCAGAGCGTGCACACTTAACCACTTGTGCCACCAGGCCAGCCCCTCTTGATTCATTTTTTAAAGAAAAAGGATACTGCAGATAAAATTAAAGGCCACTGTAATCCCTTCCCTAAACCCACTCCTCTCCTTCTGTCTGTGAGGTACCTATTCTCCTGAGTTTCATGTTTACTGTTCCCCTACCATTTATATACTAAAGTAATGCTGATTTCCGCTACTCTACTGGGATCCTCTATTTACTCACCATGTTTCCTGCCTCTGCAGCCAGCCGGGCAGCATAGCGAGCTATAAGCCGGTGTTCCTCATCCAGTCGGCTAGGACTGTCCAGGACACTGCCAAGGAGATAAAAATTCAACAGGTGTCTATTAAACATGCCCTACTTTTGCTTCTCTCTCAGAAAGAACAGATAGGAGAAAAGCTTGTAAAAAAGAATGGTAACAAGAGAAACGGAGGCCTGGGTCATAGATACTAATGGGCTTCTGAGACACAGGGGATTTAGAGAAAAGATGAGGCCACATGTGTGTCATTTCTCTTCAGCAGCATATGCCCACTCCTACACACCAGAAGGGGCACTTCTTTTTGAATGCAAGGGCTGAGAAAACACAGGGCATTTACAAAATCTGGGAGAGGGATTTTTATCAAATGCTTTGAAAAAACTCATGACTTCTAGACATAGGTCTTGAATTCAAAAAGACCAAGAGAGGTGCCGGCCTGGTGGCACAAGCAGTTAAGTGCTCGCGCTCCGCTGCGGTGGCCTGGGGTTCGCCGGTTCGGATCCTGGGGACGCACCCACGCACTGCTTGGCAAGCCATGCTGTGGCAGCGTCCCATATAAAGTGGAGGAAGATGGAGGAAGATGGGCACGGATGTTAGCCCAGGGCCAGTCTTCCTCAGTGAAAAAAGAGGAGGATTGGCAGATGTTAGCACAGGGCAGATCTCCTCACCAAAAAAAAAAACAAAAAGACCAAGAGAAAACCAAAGCATCATGAAAAACAGAGGGCTGATAAAAAGTACATTTAATACTAGCTGAGCAAAATTGAGGAACCTGGGCTAGGGCAGGCCCAATATATGGTAAAGTTGGAGAAGATTCCATGGTATCAAACATTCCCTTTCAATGCCTCTTTCTCTTGTTTTACTATGCTTGTTCCACAGCTATAGGCCCACCTCAGAGTGAAATAATTTAGTCCATTACTCTTTAAGAAGCACTTCAAGGGGCCGGCACCGTGGCTTAGCGGTTAAGTGCGCGCACTCTGCTATTGGTGGGCCAGGTTCGGATCTGGGTGCGCACTGACGCACCGCTTGTCCAGCCATGCTGAGGCAGCGTCCCACATCCAGCAACTAGAAGGATGTGCAACTATGATATACAACTATCTACCGGGGCTTTGGGGAGAAAAAGGGAAAAAAAGGAGGAGGACTGGCAATAGATGTTAGCTCAGGGCCAGTCTTGCTCAGCAAAAAGAGGAGGATTGGCACGGATGTTAGCTCAGGGCTGATCTTCCTCACAAAAAAAAAAAAGAAAGAAGAAGCACTTTAAGAATTTAAAGACCCATCTAGGTGGGCTATCAGATAAAGCCGCACCTGGATGAAAGAAGGGTTCTTGGCTAGCACTGTGTATGTGAGATGCAATGAACTTTTGACTGATTACCAAATAATTGACTCCTTTAATTTAGCATGTTACATCAACTATCATTTATTCATATCAGGGTATTCACAGATTAAGAGGGACTGTCGCTATACAATTATCTTTAAATCTGGCAGATGCTTTAAGATAACAGTGATGATGAGTAACAGACTAGAGATGGCTGTTGTCACTTGCTTCTTCTTTGGCCCTAGATTCTTGGAGTTCCAAAAACCTCTGACTGAATTTAGCAATATGACAATTAATATGAAAAAATTTAAAGACATGAGTTCAATACTCATGAAATCTTATAATTACCGAGGGGAACCTGGGAAGGGTGAAATTAAATTAAGAGAGATCTGTCCGACCTTTTCATACATAGAATCAACTGCATTTTCCCACCTTTCTATACTTCTATCTCTATGGCTAATTCTTTAAGCTTAACTTGGCCTTCCTCTAGGATGGATTTTTTCTTTTAAATGTGCTTTAAGTCTTCTGCCTATGACACTTATGAACACTTTATAATTTTAGGCGTGCAAATGCCAGTCTCCAGCATGTAGAATCATCCTCTCAAAAGATAATCTTGTAATAAGAACATGCTACCATATGAGTTGGCTTTAATACTTTGGGGTTCAGGCCCCAAGGTCAGGGCTGAACTATAATATTTGCACCTTAAAAGTGTTTGTCTGAAATAACAGAACTATCTTTATCTTTTTTACATAAACAACAACAAAAATAAACATTTAACAATACAAGTAGATAATATTATGAAGGGCCTGGCAGCCTAAGAAGTGGGACTTAAGTGGCTGACCTTTGTCTCTTGGCAAGGGACACAATAGGTTACTCTGTGCAAAAGAGCTCCTCCTTCTCCATCACATTCCATCTCCTTAGGAAGGTTAATCCTATTTGTCATTTATACCTAAGCATGGATGACATGGTTGCTTAATTGGCTATGCTTTCCAGACAGAAACTAGAAGTTTATGTTAATGAGAGGTTTTAAGGTCAATGAAAATTATGAAGAAAATTAGAAAGGTTCCTTATTCTTCTGCTTGAGTTGACTTTCATTTTCAGAATTAGCCAGGAAATTTCTGACTTCTTTGAGGAAGTATGAGGCTCAGTTCCTGAGACTATAAATCAAGAAGAGATGCGGTACTCACCCAATTCTCATGTTCTCCAGCCATCAATTCTTGCTCAGGGAGCCTAATTCCTAAGCCATGACACTTGAGGGCCTTGGTTATACCTACCATAAATCTTCTTGGGCTGAAATACCAGGTAGCAGTCTCTGTCCAACCTTCTGCTGCTATTTTCACCATGGAAACGTTTAATCACCTGGACAATTGCCATTACTGATTATAAGTAAGCTGTCCTGCCAGGGGTGAGACAACTCTATCCCTAGAGCCCAGGGGGCTGGGACAGAGTGTACAGAAATCATCTGATGGATAAGGAGACACTCTTTGTGATACAATGCACAATTATCAAGCCCTTCCTTCCTCTCATAGGATAAGCCTATGGGAGGTAAGAGAGCCCTATAGTCTCTCTAAGGCTTTAGAGATAGGTAAACGCCTAAATATAATGCTATTTAGTCATACTGGGAAAACTATAGGAAATGGTATGAAGCATATTATTAAATATAGTCCTTTTCAAATATATATTTTTTTCATATTGATTATTAATTTATTCTTCTGTTATCATGGGGAATAAGAGCAAGGTCAAATGACCTTCCCATGGAGCCATGGCATGTCAGGGGCAAAACTAAGATAAAAATTTAAGGCTCCAGGGCCAGCCCCAGTGGCCTAGTGGTTAAGTTCAGGGCACTCCACTTTGGCGGCCCAGGTTCAGTTCCCGGGCACGGACCTACACCACTGGTTAGGGGCCATGCTGTGGTGGTGGCCCAAATACAAAATAGAGAAAGATTTGCAACAGATGTTAGCTCAGGGTGAATCTTCCTCAGGAAAAAAAAAAAAAAAAATTAAGGCTCCAGCCTCTCTTATATGTTTAGTTTATAAACTATGGTTTTCTCTCTAAGAATAAGAATTTCAAGTTGTTTGGCATAATGACTCTTCTTTGCTGCTATGTAGAGGGGAGGGATGGTTTTAGATTATTTAAACTTTGCCTGCCATTCTCCTTGCTGAATGGAGGTGGTGTGGGCATGGCGTGGGCAGGTGGCTTTGGGTCTGCCTGAACGTAACAGCACTTTGTTTGGTATTAACTCTTTTGAAGGGTTAACTTTGCCTATAGTTAGCAGTTATCAAACGATTTTCCACCCTAACCTGCTGAGGGATCAGTCATACTCCCATATTAACAGTGAGTCACTACCACCGCAGTTTTCAGGAAAAGGGGTATGTGGGGCTATTATGACACATATAATTATAATAATATGAGAAGGTATATATGGTTTGGAAAAAGTCCCTCAGGTGACGATGATCCAATACCACTGTTGAAAACCACTGATTTAAATAATCAGCATGATAGATTTTTGGGATGAGATGAAGATGTAACATGTAAAGATGTCACAAGGTGATATATCAAAGATTACACAAAGTGAGATATCTGTGGGTTGATCAACCCTAAGCTTTGAATGTCAACAGAAAGATTTCACTATTTAGGCAAGAATGAATAGTAAGAAGTTGCATCAAATATCTCTGTGAATGTACATCTTTGGGACTGCATCTCCATATGAGGTTTATACACTCGTCAAGTGCAACCCAAAGAAAGTGAACTCCACTTTAAAGGAGAATTTCTGACTATATGTTTCAGTAAGTGCTCAGGCCTGGCAAGGTGCCTTCTCTTTCAGAAGCTAATGCTTTAGCAGTTGCTTAAACTCTGCCAAACATAACTGATAGCTTCTCAAGAAAAACCCCACACGCGAAGCATTTTTCCAGCTGGCAATCCCAGGTAACATAGTTCTCCACCCCTTTGATCAGTCCTCGGCTACCCGCCTGCTGCTGCTGCCCTACCACTGACCGTGCACAGTGCTGCAGACGGGCCACATAGGATGCTATCAGCGCATGCTCATCGGCCAAGTGACTGGGTCTATCCTGGCTATACTGTAACCTAGGAACATTGGAGGCAAAGACAGCAAGCGTGACACAAACACATACAAAGGGAGAAATGAACATGGATTAAAATGGGCAAACTTCAAAGAACAATAGAAAAAAATAATAAATCATGATAAGGAAAACAATAAAAAACTACAATGCATTATGGAATATGGTGTTAGATCACAGGGAATACATCTCACAAATCCTTTGAACAAAAGCAGTTCCTTAGGAGATGGCTTAGGCTGACTGACACTACAGCCCTGGAGGAGAAACCAAGGAGGGGTCACCAAGGAACTTTGCCCACCAGTCTTGTCCAGGTTCTGGGCTCTGTGATGGATACACCTTTTAGGGAATGCCCTCTGTCAGGAAAACAGGCAGAGTGGGATTATTTAACATCACTAAGTAGTCCCTTAATGCTTTTATAGCTTCTGTCCACACGTAAGAGTTTTTGGTGTTACCTCGGGACACCAGTTAAACCTTTTTGTTTCTACAAGGATACTGCCTTTAGCATCATTCTATTTTCTCCCATAAAACTGGTCCTTAAACCAGAATCGTTGGAATTGTATCTCGTTAAGACAACACCGTACACCTTGTGAGTGAGGCTCTCTCTCACAGATATATGAAATGTCCTCAAGCATGTGATCTTTTTTTTTAACTTTTTACTATAGAAATGTTAAAACATGCACAAAAAAAGAGAGAGTAATCTAATGACTACTCTTCATGTACCCATTACCAAACTTCAACAAAAATCAACATTTTGTCAACTTGTTTAGTCTTTTCCTCCCTTTCCCAACTTTTTGTGCAGGAAGAGGTGGCCAGAACAAATCCCAGACAATTTATCATTTCACTTGGGAATACTTAATTTACATAACTGCAATGTCATTATCACACCTAAAAAAATTAACAAAATTTTTTCTAATAACTCAGTCCATCTGAAAATTTTCCTCAAACCTTAAAAAATATCCTTTTACAGTTAAAATAAAGATCCAAAGTTCACACACCTTGATATGTTTTTAACCTATAACTGTTCTTCCTTTTCCCTGTTTCTTTCATATCATTTATTTGTGAAGAAAACAGGTTATCTTGTAGTATATCCTACATTCTGGATTTGACTGATTGTTTCCTATGGTGTCATTTGTTTCTCTAACCCCTGTGGTTAGATCTAAATGCTTGATTAGTTTTTGCTTTTGTTTTACTTTTGAGAAGGGACTAGAGCCTGTCAGAGGTAATACGATGCACTTATAAATCAAATAGGAGGCACATAATGGAAAATAAATACTGATCAGTGAATTCAGATGTTATTGGTTACATCTCTCCATTATAAAGTCCCCCCATCAACTTTTCACCTAATGGTTTTAGTATTTATTGATGATTCTTGCCTAGATTCATTATTTCATTAGGGGTTGCAAAATGTTGCTTTTCCAATTTATCATCTTTTCTGCATTTATTAATTTCCTCTATTTGTTTATGTTGAAATACTGCTCATTCAGAAAGGTAAAACAAATGGTTGGTATTTCTTATTATTTATTTTTTTATTTATTTTTAAGATTTTATTCATTTATTCATTTTCCCCCCAAAGCCCCAGTAGATAGTTGTATGTCATAGCGGCACATCCTTCTAGTTGCTGTATGTGGGACGCGGCCTCAGCATGGCCAGAGAAGCGGTGTGTCAGTGCGCGCCCAGGATCCAAACCCGGGCTGCCAGCAGCGGAGCGCACGCACTTAACCACTAAGCCACGGGGCCGGCGCAGGTATTTCTTATTATTTAACAAAATTCAAAACAATGAGTTAGTGCCCTAGTAACCTCCAATGGTTACCAAGGAGTTTTCTTTTTTAGTATCATCAGGAACTCATAGACGATTGCAGTCATCTTTTTGGTGCTCTAATTGTCCTATCTTTGGCCAGTGGGAGCCCCTGTAATTAAGCTCCTGTCTTCTTCTGACATATCCATTAGACTTTATTAGCTTCCTTGCTTGGCACAAGAAGATACCCCAGTCTCATCTTGTATATATCCCGCCCCGCACTTGGAATCAACTATTCTTCCAAGGTTTCCAGGTTCTCTTTATGGGAAAAGAGTATTTAGAGACCACAATCAGGGCACTAGGGTGCTCACTGTTCCTGGGCTGTAACTGCTGCTAAACCTTTTCAGTGGATGAAGCTAGGAAATTTATATATTTTAGAAAGAATAAAAAATAGTTCTCTCAGCACTTTCAGATGCCATTCCATTTTCTTCAAGCTTGCATTGTTTTTAATGAGAAGTCATTACAAACTCTTGTCTTTGTTCCCCTGTATGTAATATCTTTCTTCTCTATCTGCTTTTACTATTTTTTCTTTATCATTGTTTTTCAGCAATTTGATTGTGATGTGCCTTGGTATGGTATTCTCTGTGTTTATCCTGCTGACAGTTTGTTGGGCTTCTTGTATCTGTGGGTTTACAGTTTTCATCAAATTTGTAAAAATTTATTTGGAAATTTAGAAAAATTTATTTCCTTAAATAATTTTTCTCTCCCTCTCTTCTGTTAGAATTCTTGACATTGTCCCACAGGTTACTGAGGCTCTGTTCGTTTTTCAGCCATTTTTCTCTCTGTGCTTCATTTTGGATAGTTTGTATCACTATGTCTTTAAGTTCAGTGGACTTGCCTTCTGCAATTTCTGATCTACTGTTAAGTCCACCCATTGACTTTTTCATTTCAGGTATTATCCCTTTCAACTCTAGAAGTTCTATTTTTTTATTTAAAAAAAAAAAATTTTTTAAATGTCATTTTAATGTTTTTTTTTTTTTTTAATTTTATTTATTTATTTTTTTTCCCCCAAAGCCCCAGTAGATAGTTGTACATCATAGTTGCACATCCTTCTAGCTGCTGTATGTGGGATGCGGCCTCAGCATGGCCAGAGAAACAGCTCATCGGTGCGCGCCCAGGATCCGAACCTGGGCTGCCAGCAGCGGAGCATGCACACTTAACCGCTAAGCCACGGGGCCGGCCCTATTTAAAAATTTTTTATTGAAGTAGAATATATATGCAGAAAGTTCCAATTACACTTACACTTGGTTCTTTTTTATTTCTTCCATTTTTCTCCTCATTATGTTCATATTTTCCTTTATATTTTTGATTTTTATCATGGCTGTTTTAAAGTCCATGTCTGCTAACTGCATCATGTCTGTTATTTCTGGCTCTGTTTACAATGACTAATTTTCTCTTGGTTACAGGTCATACTTTCCTGCTGCTTCTTATATCTTCTAATTTTTTTAGTGTATGATAGAAATTGTGAATATTACATTGTTGAGTGTCTGGATTTTGTTGTCTTCCTCCAAAGAATCTGGTAGTCAGTTAATTTACTTGTAGACAGCTTGATCCTTTCAAGGCTTGTGTTTAATCTTCATTAGTGAAGATCTAGAGTGACCTTTATCTTGGGCTATTTTCACCTGCTCCTAAGGTGTGGCCTTTTTGGGGTCTTTACTGAACGCCCCAAGTGTTTAACAATGTCTCTTTACTCTGGTTGGTGGGAACTCAAACAACTGTGTAAGCTCAGGTTCCACTTTCAAATCCCAGGATTTGTTCTTTCCCAGGTAGCTGTTCTTTGCTAGTCTTGCAAAATCTCATTCTATGCAAACAAACCTAAGTTTTCAGCCAAAGACTCAAGAGACCTCGATGCAGATTTACGGAACTCCTTTTCTGCAAACTTCCTCCTCTATGGTATTCTGCTTGGCAAACTCCAGCTTCCCCAAACTCCAATCTCTATGTCCTTATTCTCAGCAAGACTGTCTTGCTCTGTTTATATCCTGCAATGGAGTTTGCCAAATGCCTCCTGGCAGAAAGCCTGGGAAATCATAGGGCTCTCCTCATTTGTTTCCATTCCCTCAGAGATCAGTCCTGCCCTAACTTACTGACTAATTTCTGAAAATAGTCATTCTATTCAGACCAGTTTTCTAGTAGTTTACAGTGGGAGAGCCAATGTGATACCAGTTACACTTCACCATGACCACAGTGAAAGTTCTCCCTGTAGTAACTCATTTTTATCATACTTTTGTAAAGTATCGGTCTACTTCAAACTAGAAATTAAAACAGAACAAAACTGCTTCTTCATGGCAGACAGATTGAGAAGCAGCGCCATAGAACCTTGAGGCCATTATAAGGGCTTTAGCTTTTACTCTGATAGGAGAAGTTATTGGAGGGTTTCAAGCAGCGGTGAGGTATGATATAACTTATATCTTTTTTTTTTTTTTTAATTTTGTTTATTTTTTTTCCCCCCAAAGCCCCAGTAGATAGTTGTGTGTCATAGCTGCATGTCCTTCTAGTTGCTGTATGTGGGACGCGGCCTCAGCATGGCCGGAGAAGCCGTGCGTTGGTGCATGCCCGGGATCGGAACCCGGGCCGCCAGCAGCGGAGCGCGCGCACTTAACCGCTAAGCCACGGGGCCGGCCCTAACTTATATCTTAATAGGATCATTTTCTGTATGGAACATAAAGGGCCAGAAAGCAGGGGAAGAAGCAGCTAATTCGAAAGCTACTGCAACATTCCAGATGAGAGACAAGAGTGGCTAAGAAAATAGTAGTAGCAATGGAAGTGGTAAGAAATAGCAAGACCCTGGACATATTTTGACAGTATTTTTGGATAGAGCTGATCTGAAAATCTGACAGTTTAGATGGGAGAAGAATCAAGGGTTCTCACTGAGCAACCAGGAGAATGGGATTCCCATTAACTGAGATGCGGAAGACAATGAGAGAGGCAGGCGTGGTGGGGGGAGATACAGAACTCAGTGCCAACTGTGAGACATGTATTAAATATCCAAGTGAAGGTACTGATTAGGAGGAGAATATATGAGATTAGTGCTCAGGGAAAAGGTCTGGGTCAGAAAAATAAGTTTGGAAGTCACCAGTATGTAGACAGTATTAAAAGCTATCAGTCTGGGTGGGCTCACCTATAGTAAGTGAGCACAGATAGAAAAGAGAAGTGGTCCCTCTGGTATAATAACATTTAGAGTTCAAAGAGGTATGGAAAAACTAGCAAAGGAG